AATCTAACATCCATTCATGATAAAAACTCTCAGCAAACTATGAATAGAGGGCAACATCCTCAACCTCAGAAAGAGTATGTACAAAAAAAGTACAGCTAATTTTTGACTCCTCTGTTGGTCTCTTCTCTGGAAGTCAGCTATACCTGGATTGATTGCAACATATTTAATGGTAAGAAAAGGGATGACTGGGAATAAGATGAGGATGCTTTTAACAAAATTATTCAATAAGTCAAGAGAAAGAAATAGTAAAAGCACACAGATTGCAAAGGAGGAAATAAAACTCTGTGCTATGGCAGACAAAATCCCAAAGAAGTTACAAAACTTCCAGATCCAGTATATAATTATAGCAAGATTACAGGATACAGTGTTGATAGTCAAATGTCAACTGTATTTCTATTTATCAGCAGCGAACAACTAGAATTTCAAATATAAAACTGAGATGAAAGAAATCAAAGGATAAATAAAAAGATTTTCTATATTTATGAATAAGAATTGTTAAGATGTCAATTTTTCTCAACTGGATCTGTAGATTCAACAGTTTCAATCAAAATCCCAACAAATTACTGCATTGATATTGACAAACTTATCTAAAACATATGGCACAGAATAGCCAACATGATACTGAAAAACAAAGTTGGAGGACTGATACGACCCAAATTCAATGTTACTACTAACCACAAGGTTGGCAGTTCAAACCCACGAACCATTCTGAAGGAGAAAAGAGTCTTTCTGCTTCTGTAAAGATTTACAGACTTGGAAATTCTATACAGGGTCGCTCTGAATTAGAGTCCACTAAATGGCGGTGAAATTTGGGGATATAAGTCTTCTACAAAGTCAGCACACGGAATCCCCGGATGCTCGCAGGAGAAAGATGAGACTTTCTGCTCCCGCAAATGTTCATAGCCTCAGAAACCCTATAGTGGGTGGCTAGGAGTCAAAAGCAACTTTGAAGCAAGCAGCAGCATATCTATATAATGAAGTATTGTTGTTTGTTGTTGTTAAGGGCCATCAAGTCAGTTCCGACTCATAGCGACCCTCTATAGGGTTTCCTAATATGGCTGGTAAGCTTGAACTGCCGACTGCATGGTTCAAACTGACTTTGCAGTCCAGGACATTAACCCATAACACCACACCAGGACTCTCAACAATAAAAAATGAGAAGCTACCAGGCTATGAAAAGACATGGAAGAGCCCTAAATGTAATGTTAAACTACAATCCCTGGGTGGCACAAACACTTAACACACTCTGCTATTCACTGAGAGGTTGGTAGTGCAAGTTCACCCAGAGGCATCCCGGAAGAAAGGGTTGGCGATCTACTGCCAAGAAATCAGTCACTGAAAACCTCTTGAAACACAGCTCTGCTCTGATACACCTGGGGTTACCATGAATTGGATGGCAGCTGGTTTTATTTTTTAAACTGAAAGTTAATATGACTAGGACTAGAAAATGGAATCCTGGTGTGGCACTGTGGGTTAATGCACTGGACTGCAAAGTAAGTTTGAATTGAAAGGTCGGTGGTTCAAGCTCACCAGTAGCTCCCCGGAAAGCCTATACAGGGTCACTATGGGCCAGAATCTACTCAAAGGCACTTAACATGCACTGTAAGAAGTGACCTTATGACTTAATGGTATTAGGCAGACTCCAGCTTAACTGACACAAATTTCTAGTCAGAGAATATCATATGGAACAAATTAAGAGTTGCATGCCATGTTTAGATGAATATACAAAGCTGTTTTTAGAGGTATGACAGGTGAGAGATTTGAAGAGATAGCATCTTTTGTAATGCTTTGTGATATACACATGCCCTAATTTGTTCTGAAAAGGAGCTCTGGTAGCGTAGTGGTTATGAATTGGGCTGTGAGCCGCAAGGTCAGCAGTTGGAAACTACCAGCTGTCCCGCAGGAGAAAGAGGATGCTTTCTGCTCCCGTAAAGATTTACAGCCTCGAAAACCTTGTACAGGGTCACTATGAGTAGGAACCTACTCCACTGCACATAACAACAACAATTTGTTTTGAAACTCTCACATGATGAGACTTCCTTTAGCTTAAATATGTCTGCCTATGCCTCAAGGAGCTCTGGTAGCCTAGTGGTATGAATCGGGCTGCGAACCTTAACGTCAGCAGTTCGAAGCTACCAGCCACTCTGCGGGAGAAAGATGACGCGTTCTGATGGCACTTAACAACAACAACATGCTACATAACTTTGTTTTTTAGATATAATTTGCCTGCAGAATAGCCATGAAATGAATGAACTCTCTTTAAGGAGACCAGTTTTTGCAAATGAGAAGATAAATTCTAAATATGTTGTATGTTCTGGAATAGTTTACTAAGACATCTTTTGGAAATTATTTGAGAAGCTTGAAATGTATCACACAAAGTGGATGGAGAATCATATGCATTGCTCACCTTATGGTCTTTGGTATCCTATTATAAAACGATGCAATTTTTAGACTATTGAATCAAAGAAATAGAATTTTTTTTTTTCCCCCCAGATTTGAAAACAGTTAAGTCAGGGGTTCTTTTCTCAAAATTCTTCTTCCTATTTCTTAAATGCTACCTCGCAATATCTATTTTATCAATGGATTTAATTTCCAAAAAATTACGGTATATCGCTGGTATCCCAAAGCAATTACTAAAATAATTCCGTCATGATTTTAATTACGCGTAACTTTAAATTAATTAACTTAGTGGAGTTCTGTGGGATAAAGTACTGGACAACAAGGTCAACTTAAACCAGAGGTTGGCAGTTCAAACTACCAGTGGCTTCTTGGAAAACCTGAACAGGGTTGCTATGAGTTAGAACAGATTCAACACTTAACAAGTTATAAGTTTAACAATAAATAATTGTACTTTTAAAAGCATTCCATGATCAAACAAAACTGAGGAAATGCCTCTTCGTGATTCTGTAAAGGCAAAAAGTTCCTCACTGTCCCCTACCAACTCAATTCTGAAAACATTAAACTTGTTTTAATTTTTAAAGTTAAAAAACAGTATTAATGGGCAGAAAGGGGAGTAGAGGCAAGAAAGACGTTAGGTACCAAGAATAATGGAATTATAAGAACAGAGAGATTAAGGTATTAGCATAGTGGAGCACTAATGTTGTGAATTAAAAACAAAGTTGTGATTTAAAACCACCATTCCAAAGGATTAAGGTCAAGACATATGATCTTTATATGTGGATTGAGGTTCCAATTATAGTCCTAGCAGAAGTTGTCTCAGATTGTTGTTAAATGCAACCTGAGTTGGTTCCGATTCAATGAGACCCTATATAGGATTTTCGAGCAGCGGCTGGTGGGCTTGAACTGTCGAACTTGCAATAAGCAGTCCAATGCTTATTCTATGTCACCATACCGGCACTCCAACCAGCACTCTAATTTATTTTAAAAGATACTTAAATTCTGTGGCAGATAATATTAATGCACAGCAAGATGAGGTTGTGAAAAATTTATGTTTGTTGAGTACTACTGTGTGCCTCGGAAACCCTGTACAGGGTCGCTATGGGTCGGAACCGACTCGACGGCACTTAACAACAACAACAACAACTGTGTGCCAGACACTGTGCTCTCAAGTACCACGAACCTCAGTGAGACCTTAACTGTCTGCCATTACATCTTAGCACTTACCATAGTGCAAGCTTGATACCAAGTGCTGAGATAAACAAATAGTACCACCTAGACAACTAAGAACTAGTGACTTATTGTATTTCCAAGGTAAGTATACCAACGTTTTGTAGTTATTACACTTTAGATTAGTTACTTTATTTCTGTGAAAATCTTAGTTATAAATTCTTTGCTTACTGAAAAATGTATCTATGCAGGCAAGCGCATTAATCCACATCGCCACACCAGGACTCACATTGTTAGGAGACAAAAATTTAATTTAATGTAGTTGTTGTAAAGTGCCCTAGAGTCGGTTCGGAGTCATAGGGCCCCTGTTTAAGGTTTCCAAGGAGCAGCTCGTGAGTTTGAAATTTCCCATACTGTACAACAATTCCTAAGACACAACCAATAAGCAATAGCTCCCTTAGCATATGTCAGAGATTCTTCTACACTGTCAGAATTAAAAAAAAAAAAAAAAAAAATCCACCCCCAAAATAAGTTTTATCTACCTATTCCTAAACTTTCTTTTCGGGAACCAATCTTTCAAATTCTTAAAACTTGTAGCACCCTTCACCTGCAAGGCAGTTAGCAGATGCCCCCTATGTCCTCCCTCAGGACTTTGGGACAATTTCATGACCTTGCAGAGCTACTACTTCAGCATAACGGTTTCATGATAGTATGAAGTGTCTCTTTTCCTTCTCCCAGTAACCCACAGATCTTTAAAGTCCCTTCTGCACCAAAATTGCCTTCAGTCCATGAGGGTATTTTAATTAAAAAAAAATTCACCTTCGTTTCTCCAGTGCACATCAAGGATCCTGCTAAATTGCAAGTGCTTAACAAACGTCCTGGATGACTCAAACTCGATGAGGTTTACTCTGCTCAGCACTGGCGCATTTCAAACTTTGCCCAGCATAGGAGAGTTTTCAAAAGGCGTCAAGGACATACAGCGCAACCTTTCCCTAGACTTTTTCTTAGGTTTCCTCCACCCCCACGTTGTGGGCCCAGTTAAGGATGCCACAGTAACAGTTATCTGGCACGTAACAGACACTCAATAAGTATTTATTAGATGAATGAATTAAAAAACGTACTGAAATTAAAAGTCTCAATCCCGATGTTCAAGATTACCACTTCTCTTGTTTCTCACCCCGCCCCATCAAGTCTCAGGAGACGTGGCGTGACCTTGCACCGACTTGCAGTCTCCAGCCTCTCGGAGGCCCCCGTCCCAGTTCTAAGGCGCTTCCCGCAGCCCAAACTTTCTAGGGCTTCTGCTGGGTCAGGGGCCTAGATCAACCCGAGACTCCTGATCTGCCCTACATGCCACCTCATTCCCTTCTCCTTTCAATCGGACCGAACTCTTCCAACCCTCCCAGTTCTCCCGTCCCTACCGCAAGCTGTCATACCATTGCGGCTGCAGAACCCAGGCGGAGACCCCAACGAGGTTTGCCCGAGAGAACATGGTGAAGCCGGCCTCGCTGAAGGTCGGTCAGACAGGCCTCAGCACGCTTGCGCAGAAGCTTTCCGATTGCCTCTCCTCCGCCTTTCTCCTTTAGTCTCGCTTCCTCTCGCCTGAGAGATGGAAAACTCGCGAGCGTTGGGAGCCAGCCTTGTAACTGTCCACCTCCATCTGTCACTCACCTACCTTCGGTATTTGTCCCGCCCACTCCCGCCAGCCCTTTCCGCTTCCGGTTGACTGGAGCTGGACTTCAAAAGTTGTCCACACCGTCGCAGCGATGGGGAAGTCCGATTTTCTTACCCCCAAGGCTATCGCCAACAGGATTAAATCCAAGGGGCTTCAGAAGCTTCGCTGGTATTGCCAGATGTGCCAGAAGCAGTGCCGGGATGAGGTAAGGGAGCCTGGGATGGCTCATCTCCCCAGTGCCCGCATCCTGTCTTGGCACAAGAACGAGGGGCTAGGAAAGATTTTGCAGCTCTCGAGGAAATTATCTTACTCAAGCTATTGGAAAACCGGAGCGTACCGGCGCACCGGCAATAACTATAATGACAATAACAATTCTGTCTTAATGCTGCTTGGAAGAGGAACAGACTACGTGGGAATCATACCTCTTTTGGGGATCAGATGAAAAAGGAATAAGCTCTTCCACATTATTTGTTTATTCATTCTACTTATTTAGCAGTCGTCTGTTAATAAGCATTATTAATAAGCATGACACACTGAGCATGTACAGTGTGTCAAACTCAGAATAATATTGTGATTAGGGTTATGAACTACGGAGTCAGACTGTCAGAATTTTAGTCTAGCTGCGCCCTTTACTAGCTGTGTGATTCTAGCCTGTTTATTCTTTATTTCTCATTAAGCAAGACAAACAAGCAAACAAATAAACCAAACCCACCCTATAGGACAAAGTAGAGTTTCTGAGACCGCAAATATTTTTGCGCAAACAGGTAGGAGCAGCTTGGTGGCTTTGAAATGCAGACCTTGGCTAGCAGCCTAGTTCCTAACTCACAGCGCCACCAGGGTTCCTTTTTATTTCTCTCTTTTTTTTTTTCTATTTAAATCAAAATTAGTTTTCCACAAAATTAAAGTCACAGAAACTAATGTAATGAACATCCATCCATATATCCATGACCCAGGTTTAAAATATTTTCTCATATTTCCTTTTTCAGTGTATTACAAATATCAGGACATTTCACGTCTAAATATTTGATTATGTTTTTATATATAACCACACTATATCATCACGTTTAAGAAATTATAACTAAAAAATGCTTTATGTTTACGTTTCTGCAGTTAACCCACATAAATATTTGATTATGTTTTTATACATAACCACAATATATCATCATGTTTAAGAAATTATAACTAAAAAATGCTTTATGTTTACGTTTCTGCAGTTAACCCACAAATGTTTTAAAAGCTGTTATTTTATCCCTTCCCCGAAACAAATAACTAATAGCCAATCAAAAGTCATGAATTGATTTTTTTAGGACTTTAATTCTCTTTAAATACAGAGCATAGCACTTACTTCTTCACACACACACCCACACTTTTTAATTTCCTGTGATATTGACTAGTTTGCTTGACATTGACTGATTAATTGCTCTGAAGCATTCTCATTTTCTATGTTGAAATGCTTCCTTGAGGCTGGATTTTGGCTTCTTTCTCTAACTCTTGTGGAAGAACCCACTGCCATGGAGTTGATTCCAACTGCCAGTGAACTGTCCCATAGGGTTTCAGAGACTGTAAATCTTTGCAGTAGCAGACAGCCTCATCTTTCTCCTGAGGGGTGGCTAGTGGTTTCTCACCATGGATGTTTCAGTTACCTGCCCAGTACTTCACCCACTGTGCCTCTTAACTCTTTGTTTCTTTCAATTGGAGCTTGTATCTAATGGCTTGGCTAGATTCAGGATTAACATTTGTGGGGAGAATACGTCATAGATGGTCCTGTGTATTTCATATTGTATCCTATAAAGAAGTTCATAATACTGTGTAAAATTGACATTAATAAGATGATAGCCTTTAATGTTATAAAAGTAATGCTTTCTCCCATGTGAGAGTATTAGTGGAATCATGCCAATATATCTATCTGCACATCAACTTTTCGCCTGTTTGTTTTAGCATCCTTATCTGATTCACGTATTTCATAGTTGTTGTTAGGTGCTGTGGAATCGGTACCTACTCATAGCGATCCTACCGCACAGCAGAAGGAAGTGTTTATTTTTCTGCCTCCATTATTCTTTGTATATTCGTTACTCTCTAGCATTCCTTTTTAGAAATGAGCTTTTTCTATTAACTAGGCCTGATAGCGTAGTGGTTACGAGTCAGGCTGCTAACCTTCAGGCCAGCAGTTTGAATCGTGGGAGAAAGATGAGGCTTTCTGCTCTTGTAAAGATTTACAACCCTGAAACGCAGGGTGGCTATGACTTGGAACCGACTCCACAGCACACCACCACCAGAGCTATTTTGGAGCCCCTGGAGTGGTGCTGTAGGATAAGCACCGGACTATATGGCTGGTTTTAATCACAAAGTTGTTAGTTCAAACTCACCAGTTGTTCTCCTTGGAAACCCTATACAGGGTTGCTGTGAGTTGTAACTGACTCTATGGTATGTAACAACCACAAGGACTATTTTGGATGACTAAAGATTTGGAAACCGCTCTAAGCAAGATACAATGTTGAAATCATGTTTTAGAGCAGTTCTACTGTGTTACACAGGAGGTTGGCATGAATCAGAATCAACTCAATGCAATGGGTTTTGTTTTTGATTTCTTCAGTAGCAGTAGGAGCCCTGGTGACACAGTGGTTAAAGTTCTTGGCTTGCTAATTGAAAGGTTAGCAGTTCAAACCCACCAGCTGCTATTTGGGAGAAAAATGTGACAGTCTACTTCTGTAAAGATTGACAGCATTGGAAACCCTGTGAGGCAGTTTTACTCTCCCCTAAGATTTACAGCCTCAGAAACACTGTACAGGTTGGAACCAACTCCATGGCACATAACCACCACCGTCGTGTTGCTGTAAGTTGCAATTGATTCAGTGTCAGTGGGTTTGGCTTTGGTTTTCACTAGTGATATAAATGAAAAATATGCCTCTTCATCTATAGTCCCCCTTTCAATTAACAAGCACTAACATAGTCCCACTTAATCAAGCTAGAAATCAGTACAGTCATCCTAGATTTCGCCTTCTCATTAAATTTAGCCAAAAAGTCTGCTGCTTTTTTAATATCTCGTGCCCAGCCCCTCTGTTCAGTCCCCCATGGCTTTTCTCGGCTACGGAAGCCTCCAGGCGTTTCTTCTGCGGCTTTGCTGAGTTCAAGCCACCAACCTTTAAGTTAGCTGTTGTGTGTTGTTTAGTACCGTCGAGAGTCATTCTGACCCATAGTGATCCTGTGTAGGGTTTCTCAGGAGCAGTTGGTGATCTTGAACCACCGACCTTGCAGTTCAAACGACTATACAGTTCGGCGCATGAATCCACAGCGCCACACCATTGGTATCACAATTCACATTTTCCACCTAGGAAATCTTGCTAATTGACAATGAGGTTCAAATATTAAGCAGATGATGCTAAGTTAGAGCTTTTGTTTTTTTTAAATAAAACCATCTGAAGAAGATACAAATGTTTTGTGTTTACTATGAGGTTTATGTAGTGTGCAACTGTGCACTTTGAAAACTGAAGTGAAGCAGAGGAAACTGAGTGAAATCGCTTCTATATAGGGGTTCATGAATGGCACATTTTACTTCTTTGTAGTTCTCCTAGGAGTGTGCACCACACTCTCTATGAAGTAAGTATGTTCTCAATGGGAAGTTGTTAAATAAAGTAAAAAACATTAAATGCATTCTTCTACTGTTATGCCCAATAATGTTTCTTACTAATGTTTGTTTCTTGAAGCAGGATTTTGCTGTCTCTGTAATCTTAAGGATTATTCTTTAATTAGTACTGTTACAAAGCTCAACTCCATAAGAAGTAAAAAATAAAACAAAACAAAACTGTCAGGGTATTTACAGTTAGAGGACATAGTGATTTGCTTATTTAAAAAAAAAAAAAATTATCACCAAAGAGCAGCTTTTAGGATTTAAATTCTATTTAGAGCTCATTATGATGACCTAAATCAGAATTTAACTATAATCTTTACATTTTTGTAGAATGGCTTTAAGTGTCATTGTATGTCGGAATCTCATCAGAGACAACTATTGCTGGCTTCAGAAAATCCTCAGCAATTTATGGATTATTTTTCAGAGTAAGTAACTTAAATATATCCTTATATCGTAAGTTTTATTCAGTTGGACATTTAATACATGCTTAATTTATATATAAGATGCTCTCTTATTTCTTGAATGTAGCATACTCACTATATTTTCTCTGGATTCAAATGTTCTCTTCTTTTACCAGTTTATTATAGTATGAAATTATTTCAAAAGTGTTTTTCACAGTGTAGTCTTTTCTTCCTTCTACTTGAAAAATACTAAATTACCACTCTGAAACAAAGTAAAGGAGTTATAGTTAAGAGCAGCCTTTGCAGTCAGACTGTTACATGCTATCCAGTCAGTTCCAACTCATAAGACACCCTGTGTTATAACAAAACAAAGTGTTGCCTGGCCCTGCACCATCCTCACAATCATTGCCATGTTTGAGCCCATTGTTGCAGCCGCTTTGTCAATCCATCTTGCTCACATCCTCCCTCTTTTCCAGTGATGCTCTACTTTACCTGCTTAATCTAGGCTCCTCTACTTTTTTTTTTTTTTTACTTTTTATTGTGAATTGAAGGAAGGTTAATGGACAAGATCATCAGCTTTACATTCAACAAATCCTAGCCTTGTTTCATCTCAGTGATTCCCATCCCTTCCCTGTAACAACAGTTATCCTACTTCCACCCTGTGGCTTGCTTCCCTTTACATCTTATATTTCACAAATGAACAAAGCAAAAATATTTGATGTATATGTACAAAACTAAACAAAACATATATATTCATTTAAATGTTCTAAGGGCATATTCTGCAAGCCAGCCTCTTGCCTGCAGGCACACAGCCTTACTCAGTCCATGCACCTAGAGGCTGAAGCT